CGGGGCCGGGGTTTGCCCCCGCCATTGACTTTGTGGGAGTCCAGCTATGTAACCATTACTCTGTCTTCTGGTCTCAATTCTTAAAATGAAAAAAAAAAAAAAGAAGAGGCCGGCAGGTGGTGTGGTGGTTAATGATGCTGGACACCCAAATGGTCGACTGCCATTCAAGTTTGTTCCTAGTGGCTGACTTTCTCACTTTCTCTCTCTGTCTGTCTCTGGGACAGACAGAGAAAAAGTAAAATAAAATAAATATAAATAAATAAATAAAATATAGAAAGTTTAATCATTCTTAAAAAAAAAAAGGAATTAAGGAGGAAAGGGGGTTTAGACAGTGGGGTTTTGAAGGCTGAGTAGGAGTTCACTCGATACAATAGGAACTAGAGGAATGCCATTCCTGTGAAGGGAATAGTATGAGTTTTCTGTATAACAGTTGAGACCTGCCTTCACCCCTTCAGAGGGACTTTAGGGGAGACCCAAGAGATACTGAGATTTGCCCCATCCCCCAGGAACTACAGATGAAACGCACAGCAATCGAGGCCTTCAACGAAACCATCAAGATCTTTGAAGAACAGGGCCAGACGCAAGAGAAGTGCAGCAAGGAATATCTGGAGCGGTTCCGGCGTGAGGGTAATGAGAAGGAGATGCAGAGGTGAGTCTGACTACTCTGACCTAGCCCAGTGCAAGCAGGGAAAAGAAGGGAATGGAGGGGGCAGTCAATGTTTCATCTGCAGGAGGAGGTCATCCATTGGAAAGGGCTTTGCAGGATGCATAGGAGTTCGCCAAAAGGCAAAAAACGAGGGGAAACCCCTTGTGCACAGGCTTAGAGGTCATGTGGGGCCAAGGGGGATCCTCGGGAGAACCTTGGGCGCTCTCTGAGGCTCTGAGCCTCCCCTCCCGCAGAATCCTGATGAACTCAGAGCGGCTCAAATCTCGAATCGCCGAGATCCATGAGAACCGCACCAAGTTGGAGCAGGAGCTGCGGGCACAGGCCTCGGACAACCGGGAGATTGACAAACGCATGAACAGCCTCAAGCCCGACCTCATGCAACTACGCAAGATCCGAGACCAGTACCTCGTGTGAGTGGGTGGCTCTGCGCTTGCCCCCGGGGCCCCACTGCTAGGGGCTGGGCGTGCCCAGATCCCTGTGGGCGTCTCTTTCTCTCTTACTCCAGTAAGAGGCTCCACCTAACGTCCAGAGCCCCTCCCCTGACTGTAAGCTCCTCCCCTCTCTAAGCTTTCCCCATCTGTAAACCTCTCCCCTTTTGTAGGCCGTGCCCCATGTGTAAGCCCCTCCCCTGTCTCTAAGCTCCTCCCCTCTATGTAGGTCCCTCCCCTGACAGTAAACCTTTCTCCTGTCTGTAAACCCCTCCCCTCTTGTAGGACCTGCCCCATCTATAAGCCCCTCCCCTCTTATAGGACCTGCCCCATCTGTAAGCCCCTCCCCTCTTGTAGGACCTGCCCATCTGTAAGCCCCTCCCAGTCTCTAAGCCCCTCCCATCTGTAAGCCCCTCCCCTCTGGTAGGACCTGCCCATCTGAAAGCCCCTCCCAGTCTCTAAGCTCCTCCCCATCTCTAAGCCCCTCCCTGTCTTTAAGCCCCTCCCCTTTATGTAGGTTCCTCCCCTGACAGTAAACCTTTCTCCTGTCTGTAAGCCCCTCCCCTATCTCTAAGTCCCTCCCCTCTGAAAGCCCCTCCCCTGTCTAAAAGCCCCACCTCTCTTTATAAGCCTCTCCCCTGTCTATAAGCCTCTCCCCTGTCGGGAAGCCCCTCCCCTCTGGGTCAGGCCTGGAACTCTGTCCCTCCTGGTCCCCTCCCAAGGGATCTTCATGCACAGGTCAGACACCTATGAAATGGGGGGCTGGGTGGGGACCCTCTAACATAAATGCTTGCTGTGCAGCCTGGCATGTGGCTGGCTGCAGCAGCTCCAGCCTGGGTTCGAATCCAACATCAGGGACCAGCAGGTAGCATTCTGGTTGAGACACTGGATCCCACATGATTAATTCCACGGTTCGAATCCCAGACCCGGTGGCTCGAAGATCATCCCAGACACATGTGCCCAAAATCCCAAGAGGAGAATGGAGGAGAAGGGATTGTGGCGTGACCATCTCCCCGGAGAGGGGAGTGATTTGTCACTTTTCCTCTCTCTGTCTCTGTCTCTCTCGGGGGAGCACACATGCCCTATAGCAAAAAAAAACAAAAAAAAAAACAAAAAAAACTGCCCAGCAACCTACCAAAAAAAACCTACTCTGCCCAGCAACCTACCTAGGGCTTAGCAGGGTCCTCCCCCTGTTGTTGCTTGAGCCACAGAAGGCCACGCGTGCACCTTTGAGCTCATTCTGACATCAGAAGTCCCTTTAGAGCTGGGGGAGCTGATGTCCAGAGTCCACAGCTGCCCAGTGCAAAAGTCAACAGCATTACCCAGCAACCTTTGCAAGACTGGTGACAATAACATCTTCCCCAAGCTGGTTAATCCGGACTCCACATCAATCACACCTTCCCCACACCTTCCCCGAGCTGGTTAATCCGGACTCCACATCAATCACAGAGACCTGAAAACACAGGCGGGACTTGGGACCCACCTGCCCACAGCCAAGTCAAGGCTGCCCTCTGGAGGCAACCAGGGGTATCACACCCTGAACCTCACCTGATTGGACCACTGTGGCCTTGCCCTCAGTTCCCCGGGGGCCTCCCCCCCCCAGCAGATCATCGCAAACCCCTTTCTTCTTTCTTCCTCTCAGGTGGCTTACCCAGAAAGGAGCCCGGCAGAAGAAAATCAACGACTGGTTGGGGATTAAAAATGAAACGGAGGAGTGAGTGATGACCTGGAATCATGATCTGCGGGAGGGCTTCCCAGAGGAGGGGGCTATTTGGGATGGGTTTTGTAGAATGAATAGGAGTTCGCCGTGGAAGAATCATCCCAGTCCCGAGGGCCCCTGGGGGATGCTGGCAAAAGAATGAACAGCGTCCCTCCCTTGCCTCCCCCCACAGCCAGTACGCCCTGATGGAAGACGAGGATGACCTCCCCCATCACGAGGAACACACGTGGTACGTGGGCAAGATCAACCGGACCCAGGCTGAAGAAATGCTGAGTGGCAAGCGCGACGGCACCTTCCTGATCCGGGAGAGCAGCCAGCGGGGCTGTTACGCTTGCTCAGTGGTGTGAGTGCCGGATGGGGCAGGGAGGGGGCTAGGGAAGTGGAGGGGGGCCTGTTCCTTCCCCAGGTTTTTTGGTTTTTGGGTTTTTTTAAGAGATTTTTGCTGTAGGGCATGTGCGCTCACCAGAGACAGAGAGAAAGTGAGAGATCACCCTTCAGGGGGGGTTTGGCCACGTAGCAATCCCTTCTCCTCCATTCTCCTCTTGGGACTCCCACATGCCTGGCGTGAGTTTTAAGGCACCGGGTCTGGGACTCAAACTGAGGTCAACTGCATGGGAGTCCAGCCGTTTTGCTATCCGTTAACCCTGGGATTTTATTTTATTTTATTTTATTTTATTTTTCAAGAGAGGTTTTCGCCGTAGGGCGCGTGCACTCGCCAGAAAGACAGAGAGAGACAGAGAGACAGAAAGCGAGAAATCACCCCCCAGGGGGGATGGCCACGCCGCAATCCCTTCTCCGCCATTCTCCTCTCGGGATCTTGGACACGCACGCACACGCGCCCGGCATGAGTTTCATCCGCCGGGTCCGGGACTCGAACAGGTCGACTACACGGGAGTCCAACGACGGGAGAAGGGCCTCTCGCGGGAGGCCAGGCTGGGTGGATGGGCCCGCCTGACGCGCGCTGTCTGCCACGCCCCCAGGGTAGACGGAGACACGAAGCACTGCGTCATCTACCGCACGGCCACCGGCTTCGGCTTCGCGGAGCCCTACAACCTGTACGGGTCCCTGAAGGAGCTGGTGCTGCACTATCAGCACGCATCGCTGGTGCAGCACAACGACGCGCTCACGGTCACCCTGGCCCACCCCGTGCGCACCCTGGCCCTGGCCTGCCACCTACCACCCTCTGAGTGCCCAGAACGTGGCATGGAGCAGAGCCGCCCCTGGGCCATCCACACTCGGAGCTCCACCCAGAGCTGCGGGACCCACTGGACAGACCAGCCACTTCCAAGGGGGGACGAGTCAGGGGGACCTCCATCTTTCTGGCTCTCTCCCTCCCTCTCTGAGTCGCTGTCTCCCTGTCTCTAAGTCTCTTTGTCTCTCCCTTCTGTCTTCTTTCTCTCCTCTTCTTTATCTCTGTCTCTGTGTCGGGGTTCTGCCTCCCCTGCGCCCTCCTCCCTTCCCCTCTGGCCCTGCCCTCTGCAGACCCCACCCCTAATCTCCATCTCCCCACCCCCTTGAAGCCCTCCCTGGCTGCATCTCGTCATGTTTACAGAGGCCCCTGGGCTGCGTGGCCTCAGCCTAGGCGCCCGGATTTTTAAGCCATAGACCTGGGGTCCGGGAAGGAAGGAACTTCACTCAGCTGCTTCTGAGAATCTCCACTGGCCGGTGACACTCAGGGGCCGGGCGGGACCCGCCCCAAGGACCCCAACTTCCCTCTTCGAAATCTTGAAGTGAAACTGGCCTTCAGACCCG